AGGAGGAGAGGAGGAGAGGTGGAGGGGAGGAGGAGAGGAGAGGAGAGACTCACCGCGCGGTGGAACGTGGAGCCGCGGTAGCAGAGCGGCTTGCCGGTGCGGGGGGAGAGACCTCCCTCGCCCGTGCAGAGCGCGCGGAAGTTCTCGCACGTGCGCGGCAGCTTGTCGGCGAAGAGCTCGAAGACAATCCTGTCCCGCGAGATGCAGCCGAGGTGCAGCCGAGATGCAGCCGAGATGCAGCCGAGATGCAGCCGAGATGCAGCCGAGATGCAGCCGAGGTGCAGCCGAGGTGCAGCCGAGATGCAGCCGAGGTGCAGCCGAGATGCAGCCGAGGTGCAGCCGAGATGCAGCCGAGGTGCAGCCGAGATGCAGCCGAGATGACACTAGCCAACCGAGCCTGCCCGCCGGCACGCCGCCGACCGACACGTCGAACCAGACGCGAGGGCGCCTAGAAAGGTCCTAGAAGGTTCCAGGAGAGTTCCTAGAAGGCTCCGAGAAGGCTGCAGACGCGAGGGGCGCGTGCTGCGCCGCCGCGGCTTCAGGTGAATCCCCTTGTACAGCCCGCCCCGCCCGCCCGCCGCGCCCATCTTGGCCAGCAACGCCTTGCCGCCGGCCTCGCGCCGCTCCTCGGCTTGCCTCAGCTCCGACCACAACTCGCGCACCTCGCGGTTCGTCGGTATGAATCAATTCACTCTTCATTAAGAGTGAATTAAGAGTTGGTTAATAGCACCTCGCGGTTCGTCGGTATTAATTCATTGACTCTTCATTAAGAGTGAATTAAGAGCTGGTTAATAGCACCTCGCGGTTCGTCGGCGCCAGCCTCGCCGCCTCGCGCAAGTCGCGCCTAGAAGAGAAGGCTCCCAGAAGGCTCCCGGAAGGCTCCTGGAAGGCCCCCAGCCTCGCCGCCTAACGCAGGCCGCGCCGCGCCGCGCCAAAGTCCGAGGAGCGAGAGAGCGCCTTCGCCCGCCGGAACAGCGCCTTCACGTTCGCCTCAGCCTCCGCCCCAAGAGGGTCCGAGAGCCGGCTGACGGCGGCGTCGCAGGCGGCGGCGGCGGCCGCCCACTCGTCGCAGCGCAGGCAGCAGGCGGCCTAGACACGGCCGAGACACTTCCTAGACACTCCCTAGACACTCTCGCAGACACTCGTCGCAGCGCAGGCAGCAGGCGGCCTAGACACGGCCGAGACACTTCCTAGACACTCCCTAGACACTCTCGCAGACACTCGTCGCAGCGCAGGCAGCAGGCGGCCTCGTTGAGCCGGCACGCCACCAGCAGCTGGCGCGCCTCCTCCTCCCTGTAGTACCGCACAGTAAGGTACAGTATAGTACAGTACAGTACAGTACAGTACAGTACAGTATAGTACAGTATAGTGTAGTATCGCACAGTATAGTACAGTATAGTACAGTATAGTACAGTATAGTACAGTATAGTACAGTATAGTGTAGTATATGGTGTGGTATAGTGCACCTCCCCGCGGGGGCGCGCAGCTCGCCGAGCGACGCGTACCCCTCCAGCGGCGCCTAACATGTCTTAGCCTAACATGTCTTCCGCTCTCGTGTCATGCCCCGTCACTCTGATGTCGCACTCGCCTTCCTGGGACCCAGCGCTGACTTCTGACTGCCGTTGCTGTCTCTCCCCCTTCTCGACTGTCTGTGCTTGTGCGTCTTGGGTCCGGAGTTGTGCGTTTATGTGATGTCGCACCACGCGGACAGCCCACCATGCCTCACAGTCCCCCCCATGATGCCCATGAGACCCACGCGAGCCCCTCTGCCTGCGCATCGTCGGGCAGCAGCCGCGCCGCGGCCCGGTGCGGCGAATCTCGGCGAATCTCGGCGAATCTCGGCGAATCTCGGCGAATCTCGGCGGAATCTCGGCGGAATCTCGCGCCTCGTCCAGCAGCAGCCGCGCCGCAGCCCGGTACGCTGCCAGCGCACCGGTGTAGTCTTTCGCGCCGAACGCCTTGAGCCGAGGCGAGGCGAGGTGAGGTGAGGGGAGGGGAGGGGAGGGGAGGTAAGGTAGGGCGGAGGCAAGCCGAGGTGTAGCCGAGATACAGCCGAGATACAGCCGAGGTCTAGCCGAGATACAGCCGAGATACAGCCGAGGTCTAGCCGAGATACAGCCGAGATACAGCCGAGGTATAGCCGAGATACAGCCGAGGTCTAGCCGAGATATAGCCGAGATACAGCCGAGATACAGCCGAGATAGAGCCGACCGCCTGGCCGCCGGACGCCTTGAGCCTGGCCGCCTCGTCCAGCACCTCGCCGGCGCCCATCTCCCACACCTCGCGCTTCGGGGCCGTCCAGCCGATCAGCTCGACTTCGAACATCACCGACGCCCCTCCAGGCACGTCCGCGAACCTGCGTGCTGAATACACCGGCCTCAGGCCGGGGGCACGGTCTTGCGCAGCGCCTTCAGAGCGCCGCGTGAGTACGAGGGATAGGGAGACTACAGGTGAAGACAGGTGACGACAGGTGAGTCCGCGTCCTCTCGAGGGCTGGTTGGGAGACATGAATACGTGTTCCGCTTCTAGGCTCGAGATATGGGGAGATATGGGGGAGATATGGGGAGATATTGGGAGACATGAACACGTATTCCGCTTCTAGGACAGCGAGCCCTTCCCCGGCGGCGGGGCGGCCAGACGGGCCGAACGCGTACCTAGAGATGGAAAACAAGAAGCACGTCGCCGAAAAGAAGTACGCGCCGGCGGCCAGGCGGGCCGTAGTATGCGTACTCTGGCCGCAGCAGCAAGGACGCCTCCTCGCCGCGCGCCATCGAGCGCAGGCCGCGCTCGAGCCCGCGCACCTACGGAAGGCAAGGGGTAAGGTGAGGCACACTGCACTTCGCCACACACGCAACGGTGGTGGGGCAACTCGAGCAGGCAGACCGCGCTCGAGTGTGTGTGTGTGTGTGTGTGTGTGTGTGTGTGTGTGTGTGTGTGTGTGTGTGTGTGTGTGTGTGTGCGTGTGTGTGTGTGTGTGTGTGTGTGTGTGTGTGTGTGTGTGTGTGTGTGTGTGTGTGTGTGTGTGTGTGTGTGTGTGTGTGTGTGTGTGTGTGTGTGTGTGTGTGTGTGTGTGCGTGTGTGTGTGTGTGTGTGTGCGTGTGTGTGTGCGTGTGTGGTGTGTGTGTGCGTGTGTGTGTGCGTGTGTGGTGTGTGTGTGTGTGTGTGTGTGTGTGTGTGCGTGTGTGTGTGTGTGTGTGTGTGTGTGCGTGTGTGTGTGTGTGTGTGTGTGAGTGTCGAAGGGGAAGAGCAGCCAGGGGCTCGGGGCTGGACACATGCGCGGTGCGGGTGGACGCGAGACGGGAGATGGCGGCACGCTGGACCGACACACAGACACACACAGCCTCACAGCCGACGTGGAGACGCCAACCTCCAGGCGAGACGACGGGCTTGCGCAGTGTCTTCAGAGCACCGCGTGGAGACGGGGGGGGGGGCGGAGACGGCGAATACAGCCGAATGCCGCCGAATACGGCGGGAGACAGCGGAGTCCGTGTCCTCTCGAGCGCTGGGTGGGAGACAAGAACACGTCTTCCGCTTCTAAGGCCGCGCACGAGCAAGCCGTCCCCGAGCGCCGTCTCCACCACGCCCGACTCGAACCGCCTCCCGTCGGCGGCGAGGCGCCCGACCTAGACACTTCCTAGACACTTCCTAGACACCTCCTTGTGCACAGCCGTGCAGTGAGGCGAGGCGGCCGACCCAGCGGAGCTTGACGCGGCTCGGTACGGGAGGGCGGTCGCCACCCGCCGCGCCCTCGCGCCGCACGCGCTTGAGCACGCCGCCGTCGCCGACGAGGTCGACCATGCCTTCGAGGGCGACGCTCCAACCGCCGGGCGCGGCAGCCGGCGGCGGCGGCGCCGTCGGAGGAGGAGCAGCCGGCGCCGGCGCCGGCGCCTTCCGCTGCAGCAGCTCGGCCACACGGAGCCGGTCACCGAGCTTGGCCACGCCGAGAGCCTTGAGCTGCTCGTGCAGCGCCGCCTTGTCACTGCAAGAAGATCGGAGAGCCTCGACGTCGGCGCCGGCCGCGGTGAGGCGCTCTAGAGTCCAGGTGGTCGCCGCCATCGTCCCTGCCGGTGGAATGGCCGAACCCCCGCCTCGCGGCGGTCCCCCTGTGGTTGTGGGCTGCTTCGCTGGAAAAAGAATTTTACAAGCCGGTATGTGTGTGTGTGTGTGTGTGTGTGTGTGTGTGTGTGTGTGTGTGTGTGTGTGTGTGTGTGTGTGTGTGTGTGTGTGTGTGTGTGTGTGTGTGCCACCCTATGCTATCCGTGTTTTGTCGGAGGAAGAGCGTGGAGCTGCTTCGAAAAAGAATTTCACGTGCGGGTGGGGCTCTCTTGCCCGCAACCCGATGCCAATCATCCGGCCCGCTGGGTGCGCTTCTTAGCTCCCCGCCTTCCGGTTGATGAATGCAGTCCAAGTGCTCCAAGTTCGCACTTTTGGGCACGGGACTGGCGCGTTGTGGCCCGTTCTTCGCGGGAAAAAGAATTTAAAGTCGTCGTGCTCGCGGCGGGGTGCGTGCACGACAGGAGGAGAAGAGAGAGATGGGCCCAGGTAGCAGGCTCCACGCCACCTGACTCGCGTCGTGCCACCTGACTCTCGCCTGGAGAGGCCTCTCAGCCGAGGCACACGTGGCAATCGCCACGTGCGCCACCATTGGGGTAGGCAGCCACCTTTTTGAAGGTGAGGCGTATCTGCCGACCTGTGAAGACGCTTTACTTGCGAGCAGTGCGTCGACCAGATGGCGCGAGGGCACCGCAACATGGCTAAGGAGGCAGGGAAGCTTCTGCTCCGAGACGGCCGCTCAAGACCGCAAAATGGTGTTCCTGAAGGTTGTGTTAGTCGGGCTGGCCAGTCCCCGGGGCCTGACGGTCCAATGTTTCCCTCAAGAGTACTTCTCCCCTACCCCACCCTTCCACTTTAGATGTGTCGGACCATGCGGGGCGCGCGCACTAAGACAGTGATGGTAGCTCACCTAACCCGTCGCACCAGGGCTCCAATTCCATCTCTCGCTCGCGGATCTCGATCCTACCGTGCCAGTACGGCGGTCTGGGCACGAAATTATTCCTCCCCCAGCGGTTCATGAAGATATAAAAGAAGAAACCGGTGTCGCCAGTGTGAACAGCGACTTTTGAGAGCAAAGGGCAGCTGCTGAGCGCTCTGTGTCGCCCTGAGCTCTGCCAGGCGCCCTCTGCGCGCGGGGCCTGGCGCACGCGATCCGGGCCATGCCGTTTAGCCGCCCCTTTGCCTGCCAGATGACCAGCGCCCGCTGCCAGCGCAGCTGGTGTGGTGTCTTGATTTGGGCCGCGTGCGGCAAGGCGGCTCACGCCGCCCGACAAAGCTAAACCTGCCTGCCACACCGGCTTCTCTCGCCTCTCCAAGGGCGGCACCGCGTAGCACTGACTTACACACGCCCCTCCTCCGCGCGCGGGCGCGCGGCGCAGCCGCAGGCCGCTGCGGCGGTTCTGCTCCGCCCTTGCGCCGCGGCCTCATCGCCGCTGCCGCCGCCGACTCGGACAGAGGCACCACCGGGCACAAATACGTGCCATCCAGGCCGTCGCGGCGGCGCCCCGAGTAGGTTCGGGTACGGGATGCTCACAACCCGCGCGAGGGCGCGCGGCTCGGCCGTGAAAGGCGTCCGTAGGTGGCGGAGGACCGCGCTTCTTTCGCCGATCATGCCGGTCGCGTCCAGGGTATCGGCACCGCCAAACGGACCTTGCCGGCTCTCTTAACGGTCCACACACGACTCCCCGGCGCGTCCCCCAGTAGGCGCGCGTGCGGGCTGCTCACACGCCGCGCGAGGGCGCGCGGCTCGGCCGTGAAAGGCGTCGGTAGGCAGCGGAGGACCGCACTACTTTCGCCGATCATGCCGGTCGCGTCCAAGGTATCGGCACCGCCAAACGGACCTTGCCGGCTCTCTTAACGTTCCGCACACGACTCCCCGGCGCGTCCCCGAGCAGGCGCGCGTGCGGGCTGCTCACACGCCGCGCGAGGGCGCGCGGCTAGGCCTTCGAAGGCGTTGGGAGGCAGCGGCCGAGCCCGCCTTCACCGTGACGCCGTTCACGTGCCTAAGGCGGTAGGCGGATCACCGCACTTCTCCCCGGCGAGATGAGGCCCTCCGCGCTAGAGGAGAGGCGGATCAGAGTAGGAGGAGCGGCGGAGGCCATCAAGCTTGTCTCGAGTAGCCCTCGCGCGCGCGCAATCGCGTGGCGGCGGTAGACCGATTTTCGCCACCGAGACGAACACCGACTCAAAGGGTAGCCGTGACAACTTCGTGTGTATAGCGGCTGATACGCTTATTCATACCAATTCTTTGCACCTGCCGCTGCGGCGTGCCTCCGCCTCATCGCCCTCTCTGCGCTAGATCTGCTGACTAGCCCGAGAACGGGCAGAACGGGCCGTCCTCGCATACTCCGGCACGCCGAAAGTGGAGCTAAAAAGTCGTCCTTGACTTCTCAGCGCCCTGACGGCCCGCCGATGGCAGACCCGACTCCCTCCATCCGCATGGCGCCGCCCGATGGTGCCGGTAACCCTATTCCGGAGCGGTTTCTCCTAGGGTTAGCGCCGAAAAAGTCGGCTCCCTTAGCTCCGGCTAGGGCTAAGGGGCCTCCGCAGCCGACCGCGAGGAAGGGCCGACTTAGGGTTAGTATAGCGGGCCGATAAGGCCGCCCACACCCGCGAGGATGGCTGTGTGTTTGCCTCCCCGACTCGGACGGCCGCCTCAGAGGGCGGGAGTGCTTCCTATTGCCCTCTCACCCGCGGGTGATGGCCGAGTCCACGGAGCCGCACGCTGCCTCTCCTTCGACGCAAGGCTCCGACTTCTATAGAGAAAACCCCATCTGCACCAGCGTTTTAAAGTGAAATCGTCAAGAGAAATCGATGCCCCGGGCTGGGCTTTGGGGTAGGCAGCCACCTTTTTGAAGGTGAGGCGTATCTGCCGACCTGTGAAGACGCTTTACTTGCGAGCAGTGCGTCGACCAGATGGCGCGAGGGCACCGCAACATGGCTAAGGAGGCAGGGAAGCTTCTGCTCCGAGACGGCCGCTCAAGACCGCAAAATGGTGTTCCTGAAGGTTGTGTTAGTCGGGCTGGCCAGTCCCCGGGGCCTGACGGTCCAATGTTTCCCTCAAGAGTACTTCTCCCCTACCCCACCCTTCCACTTTAGATGTGTCGGACCATATCAAGAAAGACACCGAAAAAAGTCGCCGCGGCAGTCCACGACGAGCCAGCCTGCTGCCGGCTCGCACGGCAGCCTCTTCCTATGGACCAGCCTCGACTTCCATACAGTCAACATTTTGTCGCTGCGTGCTCGTGGTGAGCTGTGGCGGCGGTCGAAGTTCGCCCAGATTCGGTGACGAGCGCCGGACGATAGTACCGCCTCTGTTCGCCCTGTGCATGTCAGGCCAGGCTGCAGCAGGGCACTACCAACGTGCTGCCCTGTTGCAGCCTGACTTTGCCCACTGTGCACAGTCGCCAGAGCACCACCACCGCCCGGCATCGTGTCACGGCGAGCTCCTTCTGCGCCCGCTCGCGAGGCTCTCGCGCTGGCACACTTTGGCCATCTGCTGCTCGCGTTCGGCGAGCTCTTCTCCGCACTCCTGCCACGGTGCCGTCACCACACACCTTCTGGCTGGCCTGAGCCGCGCGGGGTCGCCGGCGGGGGCAACGCGTCGACCTCTCTCTCTGGTGCACCACGGGCCGCAACGGCCTGCGAGCAGCGTGCGCGAGGAGGCAGTGTGCCGGCACAGTCGAGCCGGAGCATCGGGTTCTTGATGCTTCTGGGGTCAAGTTTGACCTTATGTGGTATAATATGCAACAATAATGCTATGCTCTCACCCAGCCTTTTGAGATATGATCCCTCAAAGTCGAATTTTCGTTTACTGGTGACCATAGTACCGTTTGTCTTGTTTGCGTTTCTTCAAACGAATCCTTTAAAGTCTCGACAATCACTCAGCTGCTTATGTGGCACCGCAGAGGCTCCCTTGGGGATGCCTGAGGCCACCCCAACCACACACTAAGCCGTACGTAGACGAATTTATCGCTACTTTTTTCGTTTACCCACACTCTGCGAGTACGGGGGAAGGACCGTGAGTTGACGGAAATCGGGGGACGCGACCCACCTCGCCACAGACGGTCCCGCGCCTCGCCGCCAAGACGGCTACACACGACCGCGGCTCGTGTGCGTGTGGCCGTCTTTGTCCGGAGTGAAAAGTCCAACGCGCTCGTCGGTGGCGGCTTCCTCCAACCTGCGCCGCGCTCGGCGAACCTCGACAGCGCTTTCGGTGGCATGCAGCTCTTTGCGACAGAAGCCTGGAGTGCAGCTCCTCTGCTGCTCACACACTCTGCACAGTTGACACAGCCTACTGTGCGGCTGCCACAGCTGTGACAGCGATGGGCTCGCCCTCACTGGCCCTCAGTCACTTGTGCTGCGGCTTGTGTGAGCGACACTGCTCGGGCCTCGGCGACTGCCGGCACACTGTGAGACCATGGGTGTGAGGTGAAACCACGCTACCACCTACCAGCGCTTGGAAAAAGAAATCGCGCCAGCCCGCGCGCCTATGTGCCCTAGTAGACAGCTACACTCAGCACGCCCCAGCCCGCGCGCCTATGTGCTGAATCGACTTACACAAGGAGGGCAATGCTGCCGATCCGCCCCGCCCCCATTGGCGCAACCGTCTCCCACGCGTTCAGCGCCGGATCGTACCGCTCGACTGAGCTGAGGCGGCCGTCAGCAGAGTCGCCGCCCACAGCATACAGCTTGAAATCACCACGTCGCTCGCGACACGTGTCGCCGATACCTCACGGGAGTCGAGAGTCCATCTCATTCGAGACGACTCGTAGACGGCTTAGTTCACTCTGCGCTGGCGTTGCGCGCCTCGATCTTCTTGGGCAGCAGCTGGTTCGACGGGTCCTCTCCGTGGCCTAGGCAGCCGTCCTCGCCCTTGCCCCACGTGAAGACGGCGCCGTCGGCGGTGATGGCGAGGCTGTGGTCCTCTCCCGCCAGCACGGCGAGGACGCGCTGCCCAGCAAAGGCCTCAACCTTCTTCGGCAGCAGCTGGTGCTGCTGGTCGCCGTGGCCCAGCCGGCCACAGCCTCCCAAGCCCCAGCTCCAGACGGCGCCGTCGGCGGTGGTGGCGAGGCTGTGGTATCCTCCAGCCGACAGAGCAACGACACACTGGTCAAAGGCGTCGACCTTCTTGGGCAGCAGCTGGTTCTGCTGGCCGCCGTGGCCCAGCTTGCCAAAGGCTCCCGAGCCCCAGCTCCAGATGGCGCCGTCGGCGGCGACGGCGAGGCTGTGGATGTTACCAGCCGACACAGCGACGATTCGCTGGCCAGCCAAAGCCTCGACTTTCGTCGGCAGCAGCTGCTCCTGCACGTCGCCGTGGCCCAGCTGGCCGTAGAGTCCATCGCCCCAGCTCCAGACGGCGCCGTCGGCGGTGATGGCGAAGCTGTGCGCCCACCCAGCCGACACGGCGACGACGCGCTGGTCAGCAAAGGCCTCGATCTTCTTGGGCAGCATCTGGCTCTGCTGGTCGCCGTGGCCCAGCTGGCCATTTTCTCCTGCGCCCCAACTCCAGACGCTGCCGTCAGCGGTGAGGGCGAGGCTGTGGTCGCCTCCCGCCGACACAGCAACCACGCGCCGGTTAGCAAAGGCCTCGACGTTCTTGGGCTCCAGCTGCTCCTGCCCGTCGCCGTGGCCCAGCTGGCCATGGGCTCCCTGGCCCCAGCTCCAGACACTGCTGTCGGCGGTGAGGGCGAGGCTGTGCATATCTCCAGCCGACACGGCGACGACGCGCTCGCCGCCCAGCGGGGAAGGGAGGCATGTCGGCGCGCTGAGCCGCGTCACGCCCTCGCCGTGGCCCAGTAGCCCTGGCGTCCAGCTCGGAGCCCTGCCGCACGACGAGAGCCGCCCCTCGCCGTCGATGAAGACACTGAGCGTGTCTCCTGCCGCCACCCTCGCCGGCGGGTTGGACTCGCGCAGCAACGCCGAGTAGCACAGCCACCGCACGGCGCAGCTCTCGCCCTCTGGCTGCGCCGGCAGCTCGAAGCCGGCCTCTTGCAGGCGCAAGCGAATGCCCTCTAGCGCGAGCGAGGCGTGGAAGAGCAGTGAGACGGCCGCGACGCGAGCGATGTCGGCGGGGTCGCAGCGGGAGATGACGCGCGCGAGAAGCTCAAGGGGCAGGTCGGTGAGGACGCAGTGTGCGGCGGCGGCGGCGGCGGCGGCGAGGCGGCGTGAGCGGCGCCGCGGGGCTGACATCGCGACAAAAAAAATTCCCCGCCGATGCCATCGTACCCTCGAGGTCTCGAGATACACAAAGCGGCCACCAGCGCCCGTCGGTGTACACTACGCGCGGCGACTTCTTACTCGTACCGTCGTAGCGCAACGACGCGTCGAGGCAGCTCCCTCCACTGTTGCGTCAAGCGCAGCGGCATGCGTGCTGCATGGCTGAGGCGTCAGTCAAAACAGGTCGCCAGCCAGTCATCCCAACGCAGTCTGACTCGAGCAGCCGCTCGAGCTCACGACGTGGATGCCATGGTGTCTGCAGCCGATTCGCTGCTTGCGCGCGCGCGGTTCGACTCGGTGGCCAACGGCCGAGAGCCTGAGAGCGGAGAGGCAGAGTGGCTCGCGCACTTCTCATGACTTCCTTCTCACCGCCCCGCCCCCACCCCTCGATATGCGATCATCTTCTTGGGCAGCAGCTGGTTCGATAGGTCCTCTCCGTGGCCCAGCCGGCCATCGACTCCACTGCCCCAGCTCCAGACGGCGCTGTCGGCGGTTAGAGCGATGCTGTGGTACCACCCTGCTGACACGGCGACGACACACTGGCCCGCCAACGCCCCGACCTTCTTGGGCAGCAGCTGGTTATGCTGGTCGCCGTGGCCCAGCTTGCCCCCACCTCCATCGCCCCAGCTCCAGAGAGCGCCGTCGGCGGTGATGGCGATGCCGTAGTTGCCTCCAGCTGACACGGCGACGACGCGCCGGCCAGCAAAGGCCTCGATCTTCTTCGGCTGCAGCTGCCTCTGCTCGTCGCCGTGCCCCAGCCGGCCCGAGCCTCCACTGCCCCAGCTCCAGACGGCGCCGTCGGCGGCGAGGGCGAGGCTGTGAGCAATTCCAGCCGACACAGCGACGACGCACCGCCCTGCCAACGCCTCGACCTTCTTGGGCAGCAGCTGGTACTGCCATACGCCGTGGTGCTGCTCGTCGCCGTGGCCCAACCGGCCCCCGCCCCCAAAGCCCCAGCTCCAGACGGCGCCGTCGGCGGTGATGGCGAGGCTGTGTTCGCCTGCAGCCGACACAGCGACGACGCGCTGCCCGGTAAAGGCCTCGACCTTCTTGGGCAGCAGCTGGGTCTGCATGTCGCCGTGGCCCAGCCGGCCTTCGTATCCATAGCCCCAGCTCCAGACGGCTCCGTCGGCGGTAATGGCGAGGCTGTGGCTCTCTCCAGCCGACACGGCGGCGACGCGCTGGCCAGCCAAGGCCTCGACTTTCTTCGGCTGCAGCTGGTTCTGCAGGTCGCCGTGGCCCAGCCGTCCATAGTTTCCACCGCCCCAGCTCCAGACGGCGCCGTCGGCGGCGAGGGCGAGGCTATGCGCGAATCCCGCCGACACGCTCACGACGCGCTCGCCGCCCAGCGGCGAGGGGAGACACGTCGGCGTGTTCAGCCGCGTCACGCCCTCGCCGTGCCCGAGCAGTCCTGGCGTCCAGCTCTCAGCCGTTCCGCACGACGAGAGCCGCCCCTCGCCGTCGATGAAGAGGCTGTGCCGCATGCCTGCCGCCGCCCTCGCCGGCGGGTTGGACTCGCGAAGCAGCGCCGAATAGCACAGCCACCGCACGGCGCAGCCCTCGCCCTCGGGCTGCGCCGGCGGCTCGAAGCCGCGCTCTTGCGCCCACAAGCGGATGCCCTCCAGCGCAAGCGAGGCGTGGAAGAGCAGCGAGACGGCCGCGGCGCGAGCGATGTCGGCGGGGTCGCAGCGAGAGAGGGCGCGCGCGAGGAGCTCCGTGGGGAGATCGAGGAGGCGGATGGGCGGCGGCGTGTCTGGCGAAGGAGTGGCGGCGGAGGCGGAGGCGCGGGCGAGGCGGCGCGAGCGGCGGCGCGGCGGGGTGGACATCGCGAGGAAAAGAAAAACTGGCACACCACCTAGGTTTCTTGTTGCACTCCCTAGGTCTGTTTTCTTTCTTTCTGCCGGCAGGGCGGACATCGGAAAGATTCGTGTTGGTTTCGCTGTCCCGCCTCGGCTGGGCGGTCCCAAAAATTTCTAACAGGAAGACTGGTCACATCGCTCATCGGCCCCGAGGTCAGATCCATCTACTCTGTTGATGACAAGACTTGTCTACTGGCTGGAGCCGAGCAGGAGGGCCCAGCGCACAACCCCTGGTCAACTCAGGGTCCACACCCCGGGGAAGCGAAAGGGGAGCAACACTTTTTGCCGTGGGAGCACTTGGAGGGGGTTTCTTTTCTTTTGCATTTGGCATTTTGGAGAGGAGAAGGGGCGGGCGGCCGCGAGCCTCTACCGCAAAGTGTCGCATGCGAGAGTCAAACGTATTTTCACCCCTCGAGCGCCCCGATCGCCTCCGTCACCGCGGCCACGAGCCGCGAAGCCTCCCCCTCGCTGCGCGGCCCGTCCCTCCGCCACCTCGCCGCGTCGTGGTGCCTCGCCGCGTTCGCCCAGATGCGCAGCGAGTGCAGCTGGCTCCGCAGCTCGGTCGGCAGGCCGCACTCGCGGTGCCAAAAGTTGATGCGCTCCTCGAAGCCGTCGGGCGCCGCCGCGGAGCGCGAGGCGTACACGGCGTCGAGGCGCGGCATCAGCGTCTTGAAGGCGAGCATCATGTTGTCCTGGATGCGCGCCTGCGCGTCGCCGGACGTGCGCATGCCGCGCACCTGCACCGAGAGCGGCGAAGGCTCGTAGCCGGTGGTGCGGGCGGCGGTGGCGGCCTCGTCTCCAAGTGCCGGCGCAGCCTCCTCCATCCCCGCCCCGCGCTGCGAGCCAGAGAGCAGCGCCTGCAAAGTCGCGAGAGCCTCGGGCAGCGTGGGCCGCTTGCGCAGGCTGTCGTGGCAGAGGCTCTTCCCGTCCGCCTTGGCGAGGTCCTTGACAGCGCGCGCCGCAGTCTCAGGCCACCCCGCCGCCGCGTCTGCGATCCTCGTCACGTCGATGTCGGTCCAGTCCTCCTCGAACTCGTCCTCGCACCGGTCGGTGAGCTGCACCTCGGACCGGTTGGTGAGGCAGACGAGGAGGGTGATGCCAACGGCGTAGCCGTCCGTCTTGCTCGAGTACTCGCCCCCCTTGATGATGGAGGGGCAGAGGTAGCCCGTGGTCATGTAAAGGGCGGCAGTCGAGCGGCAGCGGACAGACGCGTCCGGGCGCTGGTCCTTGGCAAAGCCCGTGTCAGCGAGCACGGCGGTCAGCTTCTCGTCGAGCAGGATGTTGTCCGGCTTGACGTCGCGGTGGACGATGCCCTTCGAGTGGAGGTAGACGAGCGCCTCGGTCGCCTCGCACGCGACACGCACGCGCTGCCGCCACGTCAGCGGCCTCGGCGGCTCCGCCATGCCCAGCCGCCGGAGCTGCGCCGCGCAGTCGGGATCCGAGATACGCAGCCGCGCCTCGAGCGAGCCGCCGCGCATCAGCGGCGAGAGGAGGCAGACGCCGTCGGGCGAGAGGCAGTAGCCGAGCAGCGGCAGCAGGTGCGGGTGGCTCACCGCCTTGAGAAGCTTCACCTCGAGCTCCGCCCGCGACAAGCCGCCCGACTGGCCCGACTTTGCCCGCTTGACGACGAGCGGCAAGTGGCGCAGCTGTGGAGGCGCGGCGAGGGAGATGTTGAGGCCGGCCGACGCCTCGTAGACGTGGCTGAAGCCGCCGCTGCCAATCAGCTTCCCGTCGGCAAACCCGTCGGTAGCCGCGGCAAGGTCCGACAAGGCTATCTCCACGGGCCGAGCAACAGCCGCCTCCGCCGCCGCCGGCTCGGCGGCGACAGACAGCAGATCCAGCTTCGACTCCGCCGCGCTCACCTCCTCGGCCAAGGCAGGCAGCACTCCCACGTGCGGCCTGGCGGCGGCGATGCCCGCACGCAGCGCGGAGGGGCTGTCCGCTGTGTCGAGCGACTTGAGCGCGCCCATCGCCGCGCCATGCGCCTTGCGCAGCCGCTGGCTGTCCCGCCTCCGCGCCTCCTTGAGCTTGTCACGCGCGCGCCTCGCCGCCGCCAGCACGGCTGGGCTCGCGAGGCCGCTGCACGCCTCCAGCGCGCTGGCCACGCCCTCGTACGAGCCAGCGGCCACGGCCTGCTGCAGCGCCTCGTCCGCCGCGGCGATGGCGGCTGCGTCGGCGGGCGGAGGAGATGGGGCTGGCGGCGGGGTTGGCGGCGTCGAGGCGGCGGTGGCGCTGGGGCCAGGTGCCGCATTGTCTGCCTCGCCGCCGCCGCTCATCTTCTTCTTCTTCTTCTTGCCCTTCTTGCTGGCGCGCTCCTCCTTCTCCGCCTCCTCCTCCGCCAGCAGCTCCGCGGCATGCCGCGCCGCCTCCGCCTCTGCCGCCGCTCGCTCCGCCTCCCTCGCCTCCGCCGCCTCCACCGCCTCCGCCGCCGCATGCTCCTCGATGACGCGCACGCACTCGGCGTGGCCCTTCTCCTTGGCCATCTGCAGCGCTGTCTTGCCGGTCTCAGCGCGCGCCGCCGTGTCAGCGCCCGCCCGCAGCAAGCGGCGCACGACGGCGGAGTGGTTGAAGAGGGCGGCGATCATCAGCGCGGTGTAGCCTTCGCTGGTCCACTGCAGGTTGACGTCAGCGCCGCGCCGTATCAGCAAATCGATCACCCGCTCGTGGCCGTTGTTGGCGGCGTCCATCAGCGCGGCGAGGCCGTCGCTGCTCTGCTTGTTGATCTCCGCGCCGTGCTGCAACAGCAATTCGACCACCCGCTCGTGGCCGTAGCGGGCGGCGCCCATCAGCAGCGTGAGGCCGCTCACGCTGCCTCTCTCATACGTCGCGTCGGCCCGCCCGCCGCTGTCAAGCCACGCCAGCACCGCCTCATCCTCGCCTTCCTCAACCGCACCCACGACCTCATCGGGGACTGCCACGACACCGCTCGGCGCCCGCTCCGCCGCCACCGCTGGAGATGGCGTCTTCGCGACTCTCGATCCAGCCGAGGAAGCGCCGCCGGAGGAAGCGCCGCCTGCGCCTGCGCCGCCGACTGCCGTCGCCGTGGGCCGTCCCGCCAACACCTCCTGGACGTGCTTTTTGAAGGCCTCGACGCACTCGGCGTGGCCCTGCTCTTTGGCCACCTGCAGCGCAGACATGCCGTCATCAGAGCGCAGCTTCGTATCCGCGCCCGCCCGCAGCAAGCGGAGCACGACGGCGGGGTGGTTGAAGAGGGCGGCGGCTATCAGCGCGGTGAAGCCGATGCTACTCTGCAGGTTGACCTCAGCGCCGTGCCGCAGCAGCAGGTCGACCAACCGCTCGTGGCCTTGGATGGCGGCGTGCATCAGCGCGGTGGCGCCTTCGCTGTCCTGCTTGTTGATATCCGCGCCGTAGCGCAGCAGTAACTCGACCACCCTCTCGTGGCCTTTGCTGGCGGCGCACCTCAGCGCGGTCCAGCCGTCGCTGTCCTGCTTGTTCACCTCCGCGCCGTGCCGCAGCAGCAGCTCGACCACCCGCTCGTGGCCGTAGCGGGCGGCGCTCATCAGCAGCGTGATGCCAGTCGACTTGCCTCTCTCGTACGTCGCGTCGGCCCGCCCGCCGCCCTCGAGCCACGCCAGCACCGCCTCCTCCTCGCCTCGCTCCGCCGCTGCCGCGATCGCATCGGGGGCTGACACGACACCGCTCGACGCCTGCTCCGCCGCCACCGCTGGAGATAGCGTCTTTGCGACTCTCGATCCAGCCGAGGAAGCGCCGCCGGAGGAAGTGCCGCCTGCGCCTGCGCCACCGGCTGCCGCCGCCTCCCTCGCCGCCGCCTCAAGGGCGCGCTCGCACTCGGCGTGGCCCTTCTCCTTGGCCCTCTGCAGCGCCGTACGCCCGTCCGGGGTGCGCGCCGCCGTGTCTGCGCCCGCCCGCAGCAGGCAGTGCACGATGGCGGGGTGGTTGAGGTAAGCGGCAAACATCAGCGCGGTGCGACCGTTGCTGTCCTGCAGGTTGAGCCCGGCGCCGTGCTGCACCAGCAAGTCGACCACCCGCTCGCGGCCGTTATAGGCGGCGGCCATCAGCGCGGTGCCGCCGTCGCTGTCCTGCAGGTTGACCCCCGCGCCATGCCGCAGCAGCAACTCGACCAACTGCTCGTGGCCGTAGCCGGCGGCGTCCATCAGCAGCGTGCGGCCGCCCATCCCGCCCTGCTCGTACGTCGCGTCGACCCGCCCGCCGCCCTCGAGCCACGCCTGCACCGCCTTCTCGTCGCCTCGCCCAACCGCTGCCACCTCATCGGAGACTGCCACGACAGCGATCGACGCCCGCCCCGCCGCCGCCGCCGGCGACAGATTGCCCGGCCGCACCCGCACGCTCTCGCCGCCGCCCTCGAGCGCCACCGCGTACCGCCCGCCCTCAAAGCTCCGCACCACGCCCCCCTGCCCGTTCAACTCGGGGCGGGAAGAGAGCCCGCCGAGCACGACTCGCTGGCCGAGCAGCGGCGCGTCCATAGCTGCTGCCGCTGCGGCAGAGGGTCGAGGGCAAAGGCGCGGCACAGCCTGGGTTCGGTGTTTGGGGGGTAGGGTAGGGCTACTTTGTTGGGTAAGAGGCTCGACTAAATCCCAGACAGCTCTGGAGCCCGAACCTTCGTTGTGGCCTTCGCAGCCCATCCTGTTCGCGCATGACCCTCTCCGGCGCCATCATCGCCACCGCCTGCGTCGGCTCCGTGTACGCCCTCCGACGGCGCATGCGCGGCCGCGGCGAGGGACGGGGACGCAGTCTGGCGACACTCGAGCCGCTCCCCGATGTCGCGGCGCTGAGTCCTCTGGTGCTGCGCATCCTCGGCGGCAACCCAGGCCTGTATACGCTGCAAGGTACCAACACGTACCCCGTCGGCAGCGGAGAGAGCCGGATCCTGATTGATGCCGGCCAGAAAACCTGCCGCGGCTGCTCTCTGCCATGGAGGGCGCTGGCGTGCGGCGCGTGAGCGACGTGCTCATCTCTCACTACCACCGCGACCACACGGAAGGGCTGATCGAGCTGCGGCGGCACTTTGGCCCCTCGCTCCGCGCGTGGAAGGTTGACCCGCCTTATGCTGGCGCTCACGGGCCCTCCGCCTCGCCGGTTTTTGCAGAGCTGCGCCCGCTGCAGGGCGGGCAGGTGCTCTGCACGGAGGAGAGTCACCCGCGTGCGACGCGTCTGCCTGGTCCTTGCGACACACCGAGGCAGGATCGAGTCACACGTCTGTAGGACGGCTCAGCGTCGCTTCGCGTGCTGTGCACCCCCGGCCACACCCCGGACCACGCGTGCTTCGAGCTTTGCGAGGAGGGCTCCGTCTTCACCGGTGACTGTGTGCTCGGCGGCTCCTCCGCGGTCTTTGAGGACCTGCACGACTACATGACATCGCTGAAGAGTGTGCTGGCGGTGGCGCGGGGGCGGCTCTACCCCGGACACGGGCCTGTGATAGAGGACGGCGCCGAGGGCATCCGCAGCTACATCGGCCACCGCGAGGCGCGCGGGGGAGAGGGGCGAGGCTCGGCAGAGGCGGGAGAGGAGGTGGGGAGGACCGCCTCGGAGCGAGCCTGTGGCCCTGGCGCAAGAAGCGAGCATCCAAGCCGCACGTCGGACGCATTGACGCTGCCCTCCTCTCAGGCGCGCGAGGCGCAGATCGTCGCCGCCCTCGAGCAGACGTCGTGGTGGGCCCTGGAGCTCGTCGTGCGAGACCGCGGCGCGCCTCCTCACCCCGCCTCGTGCTGCCCAGGTGCGGGCTCTCGCCACTGGGGCTTGTGCGCCGCGTCTACCCGCGGCTGCCCTGGACGCTGCGCCTCGCCGCGGCGCACAACGTCGCGCAGCACCTCGACGCGCTGCAGAGGCAAGGCAGGGTGGCTCGCCGGGCGTGGCTGCCGCTGCCCCGCGGGTACTTCCGCCTCATCGCGATGCTGGCCAGCTGGTGGCGCCTCCTGTGAATGAGTGAGTGCACGGCGGCAGCGGCGCCGTGTGTGGGCGGAGAGCAGCAGCGGCAGCGGAGCAGCAACGCAGCAACGGCAGCGGCAGCCTGGCGGTCGCTGTTCAAGTGGCGGCGCTCCTCCAAACTTGAGTGGGGGTGGAATCCGGGCGCACGTGGCTCGGCACGTGGCTCGGCATCAGAGGCCTCGCTGCTTCCCTGCGCCGCCACCAAAGAGGTCGCAAATATCTTGGCTGAGAAGGACCACGTTCGAGCAGTTCATGCGCGCCGTCGGGAAGGAGCCGCGGTGCCAGCTGCCCGCCGAGTGCCGTGGACGGCGCCTCCTCACACCTCTGCGCGTGTAGCAGGTTCCGCGGTACCAGCTGCGGGTCAAGTGCATGCTCATCCGCGCAACCTTCGACGAGAAGGTCGCCGAGATCTCCGAGTCGGTCTCGCTCGTCGCGCAGGCCCGCCTCGCACCTCGGCGCACCTCGACGCACCTCGGCACACTTCGGCGCACCTCGGCAGAGCCTCGGCACATCCTCGGCACACCGGAGGGAAGCAGACGCCTCGGAACACCTCGGCAGAATCTCGGCAGATCTGGCGAAGCCTCGGCACACATCTTTGCACGAGCCCGTCGCCGGTCGCCCACCCCGCCTGCAAGGCGGGGTGTGGCTCGCCGATGACACGTCCGCGACGCGTCAATCCCCCCCGCAGGCCGTCAAGGAGGTTCGCACTTCGCCGGCGCTCAAGAAGGTGCTGCAGATGACGCTCGCGCTGGGCAACTACCTCAACGGCGGCACAAACAAGGGCGCCGCGTGGGACTTCAAGCTCGACACGCTCTCGAAGCTGTCCGGCACAAAGACGATTTGACAACAGGTCGACCCTCCTCCACTACATCGCCGGCCCGCTCGCCTCAGCAGGGTGGCGCAAATTCTCTTTATGCGTCCACATGTCTCTGTCCTCTTCAGGCTTGCTCGCAAAGGAGGCGGAGAAGGGCAACTCCTCGGGCGGCGACGGCGAGGAGAAGACGACCGACGCGGTGCTCCTCCTCAAGCAGATGCCCTCGCTCGAGCAGGCTCTGCGGAGATATGGGGAGATATGGGGAGATATGGGGAGATATGCCCTCGCTCGAGCAGGCTCTGCGCGTGGTGTGGGTCGACGCGGGCGCGGACGTGTCGGCGCTGCGCGGCTCGCTCAAGCAGGTGGAGAACGCGGTGAGCAGCGACAAGGAGGGGTCCTTCAAGGCGGCGCTCGGGGACTTCCACTCGCGCGCGACCGCCGAGGAGAAGAAGCTCACCGAGGAGCGAGCGAGCCGAGATTCGCCGAGATTCGCCGAGCTTCGCGGAGACTCGCGAAGACTCGTGCGCCGCTCACTTCACGGCGCCGTCTGCGAGGAGGAGCACGCCGCCGCGGACAAGGGGTGCCTGGACCTCTGCGCGTGGCTGGCGGAGGAGGTCAAGGGCGGCAAGCTCGAGCCCGAGAAGGTCTTCGCGGCGCTGCACACCTTTGCGCTCGCGCTCGAGAAGGCGCGTGCCTTCAACATCGAGGCGGTCGAGAAGGAGGCCAAGAAGAAGCCAAGGCGCGCGAGGAGGAGATGGCTGCGCGCAAGCTGTCCAAGGCGTCTTCGGGCGGTAGCGCGGCCGGCAAGGGCGGCGGGCCGGCGGGTCCCGCAGGCTTGGGCGGCAAGGGCGGGGCACGGCCGGGCGGGCCGCGGCCGCCGGGGAACGGGCCTCCCAGGCCGGGCTTTGGGATGGCGGGCGTCAACGACGAGCTCACGCGCAAGCTGGCCGCGCGCGGCAACGGGCGCGGCAACCTCGTCGACGGCGTCAAGGACGGCCTCGCCGACGGCTCCATCCTCGTGCAGAAGCGGAACGAGTCCTTCGGCCGCCGCGCCTCGATGAAGCGCTCCGCCGGCCAGGGCGGATCGCACGGCTCGGCCGGCGAAGGCCCCTCCAAGCCGCCGCCGCCGCCCGGCCCGCCGCCGCCCGAGCCGCCCTTGAAGCCGCCGCCGCCGCACGGCCCGCCGCCGCCGAGCCCGCCGGCGGCGAGCGCCGAGCTCTCGAGCAGGACGGATCGCGACCACTCCCCGAACACCGGGGCCTCGCCCAAGGCGTCGCCGGTGGCGGCGCGGAGCAAGAGGAAAGGGCTGCTCGGAGGGATCCGCAACCGGTCCAAGACAGGATAGCTGTAATGACTCGCAGGGTCCACAGGGAGACAGGGAGTAGAGCAGGTGTATCATGGTCATATGTTGAGTCGCTTGCTGCGGGTGAGGAAAGCAGTGCTGCGTCGTCGTTATGAAAGTAAACGCGCGAAACAGTTAGTACACTTACGCGAAAGTAGCGCGAGACCAGACGGCCCCAACATACACACAACATGCGAGACATTACATGCGAAAACGCGACCTGTAAAGCAAGTCCGGGCCAAAGCCCTACTGCTTATCCTTCAGCTGCAAGCCCTGGCGGAAAGCGCGGGCCAACTTCCGGCGGGTGTGGATGAGCCAGCCGAGGTAGCTGACTCCGCCCAGTAGGACGCAGGCGCCAGCGACGAGCAGAGCCGAGGCCGCGGTGGTGAGCCCGTCCGCCGGCCAAGGCGCGTCGCTGAAGGCGGAGAGGAGGACCGCACCGCTGCTCACCCAGATGGTCGGCGGCGGGTAGGGCGGCGGGTAGGGCGGCGGGGACGGAGGCGGAGGCGGAGGCGGAGGCGGAGGCGGAGGCGGGGACGGAGGCGGAGGCGGAGGCGGAGGTGGCAACGGTGAAGGAAGGGGTGGTGGCTGAGACGGAGAGGGCGGTGGCAGCTCAGGAGGCGAGGACGGCGGTACTGTTGGGTGTGACGGGCAGAAGTAGCCGTGTAAAGGGAGTGACACGGGCAGAAGGGTGTGACACAGCATAGCGTGTCCGGTGTAAAGGGTGTCGGACAACAAAGAGGGCGGCGTCGGCGGTGTAGGCCCGGAGAGCGACGGAGGCTGCGGCGGCGAATGACATAAAATGCCGTGGGAACGACACAGCCTCTCGTTGCTTTGTGCCAAGGTTAGCATATGAGAAGCCGTACTGCGGTCGCCACGCCCGCGCACTTGAGCCAGCTTGGGCTGGAGACACAGCTCTCTCGAGGTTCTCGAGGTGGATATCCTTTGGCCGCGTTGAGACACAGCTGCCGGATGGAAGAATTTTTCGGCACCTGGCCACACTGGCGTCACGCTGGGGTTGTCTGTTTTCTTTCTTTCTTTCTGCGTCACGCTGCGTCGTGTCCCTTGTCAGGAGCAGGAGAGCCCATCTGTCCCCCTGATCGTCCTTCCAAAATCCTGCTCGTGCAGGTGAGAGAGAGATTTTTTAGCAATACCAAACAACTCTAACACTCACACGTCATTGGGAGCCTTTGTTGTTGTGTTGTTTTTGTTTTGCAGGTGTGGACCCTGTCCTCCTCCCCTATGCCCTATCGCTCGTCTCTATTTCTTTCTGGCGCGCGCCACGCGTCGCTCCGCGAGGGCGCGCGCCTACCGCGCGCGATTCGAACCGGGAGCCAAAAAGGCGAACCGCGAATCGTCGCGCCTCCGTGGATGCGTGAAAGAGAGCAGGCTGGCTGCACCTCCTCATGTACCTCCACTCTTGGGTGGCGGTCACGCGCTGCTGACGGCGCTCGTCGGCGTTGCGGCGCTATGGCGCGCGCTCGTGGCGTTCAGGGCGGCTCGCACAGCGCCCACACACGCACACACGCACGCACGCACGCACACACACACACACACACACACACACACACACACACACACACACACACACACACACACACACACACATGCATGCATGCACAGACACCCAGCCCCTTCCCCTTCCCCCACAAGGGCGAGGACACACACAGGACGCACCTCTATAGCGAGGCCCGCATAGTATGTGGGAGACTCATGCCGCCGCCCCTGCCACCCCTGTGTCAGTGTGCCTGTGGTTGCGAGAGACTGCCAGTGAGAAGCTGGAGGCAGGTCGCTAGACTGAGATGAGACCGCCAGTGGAGTTGGGAGTCCACCGTGCACGTGTCCCCCCCCTCCCCCCCCACAAAGGCGCTCTTGGGAAGGAAGAGGCCTCCTTTCCGCTCCCCCCCACAAGGCGCGAGTCACACAACACTCCGACAGACAGCGACGACAGCTCACAGCTTAAGAGCAGCCAGCCCCGGACCTTAGATCACGCCCACCGAGAGTAGTTCGTGTTTTGATCTCAAGTTTGGTCAAGGTAAACTTCGTGCTGGCCGCCGCTTTTCCAATCCACTGATGAAAGTAGAGTGCTCTCACCGGCCCTGAAGCCGGAAGAGCGCGCAACTGTCCGCCTCGTCGCGCCCCGCCCACGCAAGGCTACGCGCCCCACCATGCTGTCCTCGCAGATGCGGGTCCATTGTGGCGGACCCGACGCTGCTCAACAGATTGATGGTGCCCCCCACGATCCCCTCGCCGCCGTGCTGCACGGCCAGTGCTTGGAGCTCCAGCAACGGCTGCCAAACATCCTCAGCTGGGAAGAGAAGTTCCCTCCCATCATCGGTGACCTCGCGAGTGGAAACCGCATCGAGGACGTCCTTGAGGGCCTCAAGTCGCTGGCCCGCCTGCAGCCACTTGAGCGCCGCATCTTCATCGCGCGCTTTCGATGTTTACTAGAGCCGTTCGTCGCTCTTGAAGCGCTGGGCCCATTCCCAGGCGAGAGAGCCAAGGTGGCAGCCCAGGTATGTGAGTACGCATGCTTGTTTCTGCAGGATGCCCTCCCCCCTCGCAAGTCTCTCTGCCTGGTGTGAGATTTTTTTGTCCTGCCAGTGCTAACTGCTATCCCTTGTACCCTTTCAGCTCTAGCCGTGTCCGTGCTTGTGCTTGTGTCTGTGGTAGTGCCCGCCAGCCCGGCGCCTTGTGTCTGTGATAATGCCAAAATCATTGAATTTTTAGGGAATGCCTGAAGAGATAATGCACAGGTATTGACACATCATGTATTGCACAGGCATCAGAGCCCCCCTGCCTTTGCGGCCCAACCGCGCAAGCCATTAGCAGGTCACAAAGGGAGGGCTCACCAGAGACGAACCTGAACGTACCTTGTCTCTCCGCGACACCCGTAGGCGAGCATGGCTGTGCGGAGAGATTCTACTGTGTACTGAGAGAGCGCTGAGTGCTGATATGGGTGTTGCGCTGAGTAGTGCATGCGAACCTAGGGTATGTCGCGCCGCCTCTCAACTGGCAGCGCGTGGTCTAGCAGGTGTGTTTGTGTGTGGAGAGACAACGAGAGGCTCACGGGAGCGCGAGCTGCGCCGTGATCGCCGGGTGATCGCTCGAGCCGGTCCCCGTATCCCTCCCGTTGAAGCCCGTCGCCTCCTCCGACACGTAGATCTTATCCAGGCCGCCAAAGCCGCCAAACTGGCCGGTGCCGACATAGACGGTCGTGAAGCCGCCGCGGCTCTCGAGGTTGCTCTGGAAGCTGCCCTCTGGCGAGCCGTTGGAAGCGAAGGGGTTGCAGTCGCAGGTGACCACGGTGGGTGACCCACGCGCGCCGAGCTCGTCCATCTTGCCGAGCAGAGCGCGCGCGATCTGGGAGTGTGTGGCGGTGCTCGCGGCGGCGCCGAGGTTGTGCGGCAGGTGCGTGTTGAAGAACCAGAACTCCGACCCGCCGCTCGAGAACTTCGCCCAGCTGATGGTTCTCTGAGCGTACGTGTCGCTGGTGATGTCCATCCGCCCCGACGAGCCCGCCACAAACGCCACCTGCGGAGCGACAGAGGGTCCAGGCTTGAGGGTGAGAGGCGAGGGCGAAGCTTCTCTCTTGGGAGGCAGGGTCGCGCCTGCGACGGGTCGTACAGGATGTTGTTGCCCCCGCCCGTATCTGGCACGACCTGGTACCGGCCTCCCGTCTGGCCGGCGAGGTAGTTTGCGTCCTGGCACTCTTGCAGCCCGACGATGGCGGGGCCAAGGTCGCGGATGTGCGCTCCGTAGCTTGGCACAAGGTCGGAGCCGCAGCAAGGGTACCTACGTTCAGAGCGCAGGCGTGGTGCGGTGGTGCGGCGGGCGTGCATGACGACCGGGGCAGCGGCCGCGCGCACCCGTCATACTTTGTGTTATACGACATGATGGAGAGCGCCCCTGCCGGCCCCGACGGCGACGGTGGCAGCGAGGGGGGGATGCCCTCCGGCGCGCACGGCCCGCACAGCGGCGGGAACTCCTCGCCGACCTGCTGGCACGCGTCGGCCTCGCTCTTGCCCATGTTGTCCATCACCCACTGGATGCGCCCGCCGCAAGAGGCCGAGGAGTCGGGCCCGACGGCCGGCGTGGCGAGCACGGCCTCCGTGCAGCTCCCGACAAACGAGCAGAGCCCGCCGGGCGGTGGCGCCTCGCCGCAGACCTCCACCCCGGAGAAGGGTCCCGCCCCCACCTCGTCTGTGGTGGCGCCGCAGCCGCCGCGCGAGCCCCCTCCGTCGCGGCTGGCGCACGAGATCTCGCGAGCGTTGTAGCCCGTGCCGGCAAAGCCGCGCACGTTCTCCTCCTTGTCGTCGAAAAAGTACACCTCCGCGTCTGCAATGGCGACGCCCCGCGCGAAGTACCAGCTCAGCATCCCGGGCACCGCCTCCTGCTTCCGCCCCTCGGGCGCCGCCACGACCAGGGGCGACGCCGAGGCGCCGTCGTTCGGGAAGGACTTCCACGGCACGTTGCCCTCCGAGGCCCCGGCCACGCCCGGCAGCGGCGGCGCCGTGAGGCGCTGAAAGAGGACGCCTCTCTCCGCGGAGCCTGCGCCCGATGCGGTGCCCGCCGAGATGACGCCGACGTGACAGGCGCCGCAGAAGGTCGCGCCTACGTGGAGATATGGGGAGAGATGGGGGAGATATGGGGAGATATGGTTGAGGCGCAGAAGGTCGCGCCCAGGTTGAGCGCGAGCTGCGACAGGACGAGAGTGCCTCCCTCGTAGGCGCTGTCGGGCACCCCATCCTGCTGCTGCGTGCCGGGGCACTGCGGCGCGTAGCCTTGCCGCGCGGTGAGCGTGCGATCGACATCGAAGATGCACAGGCAGGACGGCGAGGAAGAGGGCGACGGCGAGGGAGGGGGCGAGGGAGAGGGCGATGCCGACGCCGACGCCTCGAAGGTGGCCGCCACGAGAGGGTGGTCCGACGGGTAGCCATTCACCGAGCGCCACGAGGCGGCATCGGCGCCGTTGGTGAAGATCATGTCGATCCCGCCGTTCGCAACCAGCTTGAGAGGGCCGCCCGCCGCGCCGTCCAGCACGTTGATGGCGGCGGAGCCCGCACCGCAGTTGAAGTCGCCGGTGTAGACGAGGAAGTCGTCCGGCGCGATGTTGTCGGCCACGGCGCGCATCCAGTTGTCGCCCAGGGCGGTAGAGCAGTCCCCGAGCGGGCCGTGCGTGTTCGCGAAGAAGACGGTCGCCCCCGTCGTGCGGTCGAGGAGTCGCACCCACACAGTGACGCGCTGGCCGTACTGGTCGGACCCTACCTGCAGCCAGCCGGCGCCCAGCCGATCGAACCTCTGGCCGTCCCACGCCACGGGCGCGGGGTTGTCGCCGGGGCCGGGGATGCCCGTCGGCGCGAACGAGTCGAAGCGGCCACTCATGCGCGGCACGTTGCTGATGACGGTGCTCACGTCCTCGCACTCTTGGAAGCCGATCAGGTCGAAGGCTTGCCCCTCGATCGTCGCATACAGAGCGCCCCACCGATTGTTCTGGCCGACGTTCCACCAGTAGAGGTTGTACGTGACTACCTCGAGGGCGACGACCGCGCCCCCGGTCCCTGCCGGCGACGGCGGCAGCGAAGGGGGGATGCCCTCCGGCGCGCACGGCCCGCACAGCGGCGGGAACTCCTCGCCGACCTGCTGGCACGCGTCGGCCTCGCTCTTGCCCATGTTGTCCATCACCCACTGGATGCGCCCGCCGCAAGAGGCCGAGGAGTCGGGCCCGACGGCCGGCGTGGCGAGCACGGCCTCCGTGCAGCTGCTCACGCCACACATCTGAGAGGAGGGCGGCGGCGGCGGCGGCGGCAGCGGGGAGGGAGACGGAGGTGGCGGCGAGGTAGAGGGGGAGGGAGATGCAGACGGCGAGGGAGAGGGAGAGGGAGATGGTGGCGGCGAGGGAGAGGGTGACGGCGAGGGAGAGGGTGCCGATGATGGCGACGGAGAGGGTGCAGAGGTGGAAGTGATGCGGAGGACGGCGACGATCGGCTGGTGGTCGGAGCCGCCCGGCGCGTCTTCGACGGTGGCGGTAGCGACGACACTGAAGCGCCCCTCCTCGGTGTAGATGTAGTCCACCCAGTTGCGGTGAGCCAGTGTAAAGGTGACGGCGAGCCCGCCTGCCGTGAGGCTCGATGGCGCCGGGTTGGAGGGCGAGTCCTCGTTCAAGTCTCCGAGGAGCAGCACCGGCGCGTCGCCGCCGGCAGCCTTCTCCGCCGCCGCGTGGTTCGTAACCATCACCGCGTTCTGCTCGTGGTAGCCCCACACCTCCTCCCCGCCCGGCAGCTGGTGCATGCCGTAGACGAGCAGGTCGCTTGCAGTGGCGGCATGCCGAAGCCGCGCCCAGGACATGGACCTGCTGCCGTCGTAGGGCACCGTGCCGTCTTGCACGACTGACCACGTGCCGCTCCGGTAGAGGATGTCGCCGTCCCAGCGTTGGCCGGACGCGTCGGCCGACCACTGGTAGTCACGGAGGTCGTCGCCAATGGAGTGCAGAGCAGTCAGCAGGCCCTCGCGACACCAGGCGGTGACGCACTCTTGGATCGAGGCCACGTCGGGCCGCTGCTGAGCGATGGCGGCCGCCAGCTCGGCGTGGCGCTGCGGCGACTGCTCTGCAAACCAAACGTTGAAGGACATCACCTTGAGCTGAATCCCGCCACCGTCGCTGCCACCGGCGCCGCTATCGCTGCCGCCGCCATCACTGTCGCCGCCGCCGGTATCACCGTCGCTACCTCCGCCGTCAACGCCAGAAACAGGTGCTCCAGTGGGCCGAATGTATGTGTCGTATCCAACATAGTCCTGCAGGCAGGAGGACAGGTCCACGGAGCCGCGCCGGTAGCACAGGACCGGCTCTGTCGACGTCACGACGACCGCCTCGCAGCCCGCCGTCGCGTCGCACTGCGCGAAGCAGTCCTCCTTCGACGGGAGGGTGCAGCACGGACTCCCGCCCGGCGTCTCCAAGTCCTCCGCGCCAAAGCCGGCGTAGCAGTTTGTCGAGGCGTGCAGCGTCCACGTGGCGGGCGGGCCGGCGGGGTCGCAGCCGCCGCACTCGGCCGGAAACTCATCGGCGACTCGCTCGCACGCAGCCATCTCGGCCATGCCTCCCCCGTCGGCGCTGCGCAACCACGAGATGCGGCCGCCGCACGAGTACTGCCCGCCTGCGTCCGTCGCGAGAGTGTTCCAGACCGCGTCCGTGCACGACGCGGCGCCGCAGCGAGCCTCCCCTTGCGGCGGCGGCGGCGCGTGCGGCGGTGGTGGCGGTGGCGACGGGGGCGGCGGAGGAGGGGACTGAGGAGGAGCGGTAGCACTCGGGCTGCACGCGCCGCATTCGCTTGGAAACTCGTCGACGGCAACCTGGGTGCACGCGGCTTCCAGGCTGATCCCTGGCCCGGAGGGGTCGAACTGGAGCCAGTCAATCCGTGCGCCACAACTCGCGGTCACGTCCGGGCCCACTGCCAGGGTCGCCCACGCCTCGTCGTCGCAACTCGCAACACCGCAACGCAGAGGCGGCGGCGGCGGCGGCGACGGCGACGGCGACGGTGGTCGCGGTGACAGAGAGGGTGGTGGCGACGGCGACGGCGACGGCGACGGCGACGGCGACGGCGACGGCGACGGCGACGGCGACGGCGACGGCGACGGCGACGGCGACGGCGACGAGCCGGAGTCAGGGCCAAAGCAGAGGGATCGGAACTTGCCCACGACCCGCGAGGCGCTGTCTGCTGTCGTGGTTGTGGACGGCTGGAACTCATTCTCGTAGGCGAGCCCACCAAAGCCGTGCTCGGCAAAGTAGTACGCCTCCTCGATGCAAACGGACGGCACCGATGCAGGCGGGTCGAAGATGGTGTCCATGGCCGTGAGCCACTGATCGACGTTGTCTTGCACGTTTAGCTGGGCGCCAAACTCTGTGAGGAGCACCGGCCGGCCAAGCGCCCACGGTTCCGCCTGCAGCGTGCACGCCGCGTCGTGCGTCCACACCATCGACCCAACCACGCCGGCGGTGTCGGAGGCGGTTGCGTAGGCGTGAAAGGCAATGTACGTCACGTAGAGCGGGCTGGCCGGCTCCTGGCACTCTGGGCACGCGGCGAAGAAGGCGCTGTAAAAGTCGCGCATCCAGTCGAGGCCGTTGTGGACGGCGGGGCCCACGATCTCGTACCCCGCGAGCTCCGAGGCGCACCGCGCCTGGTACGCCTTCCAGGTGGCGGCCGCCGCCGCCCCAGCGTCGCGCGGAGGCTCGTTG